ATGACTGAGACAATCCAGTGAGTCAAGGCATCCCCCTGCCCCCCAGGCAATGGAATATGGGGCCTCTGCACAGAAATACCCTTTGGGCAAGAAATCGAAATCGAACACGAAACCGCCTGGCTCATATTGAAGCGGATACTTGGGTTCAAAAAACTGCGCTTGTTCATCCACTTGGGCCTTTCGAACACTACAAAATGATTAGCAGATATTAGCTGCTATTTGCGAGCAAACCGCGTTTATCAGGCTCAGGTTGCCAACTATGGCTTGAGGGAAACTCTAACCTCCTGGCCCTCAAAATAGGCCAAAACAGAAATTTCCACGATTAGGGGGGGTACTCCCTAAGGTCACATGTCAGGTGCAGCTTTTCCCTCAGATTATAGACCCTGCCCTGTCGCCAACCTGAGACGCACGAGTTGGCAGACGGAGTTTCTTGTGACCTCAGCGCATGAAAGAGCCGGTGTATTGCAAGGGGGGCCTTCTGCACGTGTTGCCCCTGGCAAGCCGAAGGGAAAACACAACCATCAACCACGCTGATAGAGTGCCTGACTCATGACTTACTGACCTGCCAACGTGCCAGTGGATGAGTAACTCTGACCACTGTGATCGTCGCGACTTATAACGAGAAGGAAACCATTGTACGCACTACACTCCAGACATGACATGCAGCAAGGCTCGCAGAATGCATTCGGCATGCCGGCCATCAATGCCCTGCATTTGCTCCTCAACCTTTATTGAAGTCTCCCGAGGCCAATCTAAACCCCGAAAGCAAGCAAACCGTCATACATGACAACGCCCCCGATTTGAAGCAACTCCTGTTGAAAGGAACCTGGTCTTTGAGTGGGGTTGCTCCACTCCCTTCTCAAAGAACCTCAGAATCAAAGTGGGCAGCTTCCATGAGCGCCGGAAAGGCGAACAGCGGCTTCACACCTACCTCCAAAAACAACACACCCAATACCACCTGCAAAAAGGGTGTGTCTCTTCTTTTGGGAACCTCTTTTGACCGCTCAACCCCCAAACCTCCCAACCCTCCCAAGCCCCCCCCAAGCCCCCCCACCAAGCCCCCCCAAGCCCCCCCAAGCCCCCCCAACCCCAACCCCGACAACCCCCTATATATATATATATATGTTTAAATACAAACATCTATATAATATAGGCTATATATATATATATATTGAATACTAACAAGTTCGATATATAAACATACATCTATATAAATAAATAGATATATATATATATATATATCACAGCAATCTCAGCCAGGGCTTTGGCTCCATTCGCTTCCCCCTTCAGCGATTTCAAGCACTTTTAACTCTCCTTCCAAAGTCCTTTTCATCTTTCCCTCATGGTACTTGTTTGCAATCGGTCTCGAGCCGAGGCAAGGGATGGCAACATCACCAGCACAACACACAACCAAACAGCTGCCGTATTGCTTTCAACCACCAACTAGTAGCCTCTTTGTCCGCCTCGGACGCAGGTGCTTGCCGAGGTCGGTGAAGGCAGAGACACTGGACGCATCATGCGTCTCCAGCCGGGTCTTCAGCGGATGGTTGACCGAGACAAACGGAGTGGTGAGGTTGACCTGCACGCCCAAGCCAGGAGAGAACCGCGTGCCCATGGGGTGACAAGCTTTTGCCGACCGTTGGAGAAGAATTTGGCCCCCAGGCTGTCTGCCCAGGAAAGGGATGGTCAGAGGTACGCTCTCAAGAGTTTAGCACGGAAGCGGGTGGAAGCAACCAACCCCACCCCCCCAACCAACCCCACCCCCCCAACCAACCCCACCCCCCAACCCACCCACCCACCCACCCACCCACCCACCCACCCACCCACCCACCCAAGCAAGCAAGCAAGCAAGCAAGCAAGCAAGCAAGCAAGCAAGCAAGCAAGCAAGCAAGCAAGCAAGCAAGCAAGCAAGCAAGCAAGCAACCAAGCAACCAAGCAACCAAGCAACCAAGCAACCAAGCAAGCAACCCACCCACCCACCCAAGCAACCAACCAAGCAACCAAGCAAGCAAGCAAGCAACCAAGCAAGCATGCAAGCAACCAAGCAACCAAGCAACCAAGCAACCAAGCAAGCAAGCAAGCAAGCAAGCAAGAAAGCAAGCAGGCAACCAAGCAAGCAAGCAACCAAGCAACCAAGCCAGCAAGCAAGCAAGCACACAAGCAAGCAAGCAAGCAAGCAAGCAAAGCAAAGCAAAGCAAAGCAAAGCAACCCCAACCAACCCCACCCCCCCAACCAACCCCACCCCCCCAACCAACACCCCCAACCAAAAAAACAATTCCGGTTCCTTCGATCTCAAGGCTCCGATCGAGGCCCCGGGCTCGCATGGAGTGAGGAAGCCCCTTGGGCGGAGGTTGAAACCCAGCAGATCTGGGGCCTGGGGGGGGGTCTCTGCAAACACCAGAGGGGTGTATAGAAAACCAGCTTGTTCAGATATTCTGTTTCAGATTGAAGAAGATGGACACGAAAAGACACATCTGGGCGGGGCCAACTCATTTTGATGCTTCGCGTCTACAGGGTCCAAGCCTCCACAACCTGCCCAGGTCTATGTTCCCTTGGGAAAGCATCACCCTACCAAAAAGACACTCACTTTAAATGCCCCCCAAAAGGTAACGTTCAAGCCATCCAAAAGGGGAGATATGCGGAAAAGACATCCTTATTTGCGGATCTTGTTTGGGGGAAGGAGCCAGCGAGCGTAGGTCCGCGATCCGAGACTTGAACCAACAAGTGGGTGTCTTTCTTAAGGTTGGACCCCAAAATGGCTTCGGTTGTCCTGTTGGCTTTCCTTTCAAACAGGGGTACCAACTCGAACAAAAACACACTCAAGCGCCACGGTACTCCATCCAAGTCGGAGGGATTCTCCTGCATTGCAACACAAAAAACAAAGCCCACCAAACCGACCCGAAATTCAGGCCCTTGTACAAGGTGGGGCCTCATCGATCCTTGAATCAAGTCAGTGGGTATGGAAGTCATCGGATTTGGGGGCCGGGGCGGGGTCATCGGCAACATGTTCTAACCGGTCAATCACCGGAGAATCTCGGGTCCGCTTGAAGTGGTCTGATGGAGGCCAAAAGGCAGACATGAATTGTGTGAAAACAGCAGCCCTGCAATTTGAGGAACAGCCACCCGTGGCGCTTTTTGTGTCACGCAAAAGCAAACACCGGGAAGGTAAACGTCGCTCCCCCCCAAGTGGATAAGTTGTAGTGAGTCCCCAAACGTTGGATATTTAAGGCACAGCCACCCGTGGCATGTTTGTCACGCACAGGCAAACACCGGGCAGCCCCCCAAGTGGATAAGTTGTAGTGAGTCACCCACCTAAAACCACATGTTCCCCAAACGTTTTTTGTCACGCAAAGGCAAACACTGGGCAGACCAAGTGGATAAGTTGTAGGTCCCCAAACGTTGGATAACGGATAGCAGATGCTCGAGGTACAATAAAAAAAAAAAAAAAACTACGCCGTGAAACCCAGCTGCCCTGCAGCGGAAGGCCAAAAAAGCGCCGGTTGCATGTTGTGTCGCACACCAAGGACTTGGTGCTGCGATAGGCAGGGAATCAGGGAATGACCCCGAGAAAAACCATGCCCGATTTTTTTGGTTTCCTTTAAGGGGACCAAAAGCCCGGGTTCATGCAGCCACATTCCCACCAGTCGCACCGGCGAGAAGATTCAGGACCTATCCACAGTCTGTGGCGTGTCTGTTTTGGGGGGACCCCTTTTGGGTTCGTTTTTAAAGGGAAACCATTTGTTGGGTACCCTTAAAAAAGACATGCCCATGAGGGTCTGCGATTTTTGGGCACCCTTAAAACAGACATGCCCAGGTGGGTCTTTGATTTTTTGAGGCTACGCTGTCTATTCCCAATGCTGAGCGGCGACCCCGCCATGATGGCCGAGCCAATCACAGCAAAAGGCCGGTCTTCACGCTGAGAGCCCGATCAAGCAGCAGGCATGCTGTCTCCAAACTTTTTGAATTTAGGGCCATTGCGCCATTTACATGCTGTACAGAAGGTAATGACTGTTTAAGACCCACTTGACGGCAACAAAAGTGGTGGCTCAAAAACATGTACGGCCCCTTGGCAAATGGAACCAAAGACATCCTGAAGCCTACGTCATTTTGAGCCTCTCTCATTTGGAGCCTTGACTCACAAGGAACCAAAGACCTGGAAACCAGATCAAGACCTGGCCGTCAGGTGAGCAAGGGGTGCCCGGGAGTCGCGGCCGCCATCCGCGACTCTCAGTTGTTCAGACTGAGAGGACACAAGAACACGACAAATATCCCTTTCGCGCCAGTCCGTTACTGAAGCGATCTCAAAGTTCCCCACCATGAAGTCGGAAAGTTGGGCCCGTTGTGGGAAAGTTGTTTTTTTGGAGTGTGGCTGGGTCATTTGAGCTTTGGAGCAAGGCAAGCTTTCCGATTCATTCTGACACCCGCAATGACAACGGGAATCAGAAAAACGGCTGGTGTTTTCCGGCCCTTCAAACACCGAGACCTGACGGTTTGTGAAAAGACAATCTGAGGGCTCAGGGGGTCCCTATGCCAACGTGGCTCTGTGACGAAAGGCCACAGGAAAGGGGAATTGGCATTGGTCATTGTCTGAACATCCCTATCTGGGGTCCCCATATTCCATTTCTCCAGCCTTCCCCACAAAAGGGAAAATGGAAGCCGCATTCTTCTGACGAAAGTTGCTCATTTCTCTGGGAATTCTCTTGCCTGTCTACGGGCCAGACGGATGCGACCCCCTTCAAAAGGTGATCACTGTTTGCCAGTTGAAAGAGAAATACGAAGGAACTACAAGAAGGCAACAGGTCAAACCAGTGATCTCCAAAGCCGTGAAAAGAGCACAGTGAACCCCCCCAAAAAAACAGAAAGAAACACAAAGGACACATAAATCAGGGGGGAAACAAACAAAAAAAGCGGGAGAAACAAAAAAAACGAGGGAGGCCAATCTGGCAAAGAGATCCATCCACAACTTGCCTCCACCGCCGCGACCCCAAACTTGTTTTTTCTCCGCCGCTCACGGCCGGAACCTCGGTGCGCCGAAAAACGGTCGAGCGCGCGAGCCTCGAGCCGCGGATCGGGGCTAAGGTTGGAGCCTTGGGCCCGGTGAGTTGGCAGCGGTGGTCAAAACCGTTTGGGGATGCCATTTTGGTTGGGGTGGGGTGGGGTGGGGTGGGGATTGGTGAATTCACCACCCATGTTAGGCTTCCTATTTTAGTGGTTGGATTGAGATGTTCACTGGGGGTACGATTTGGCTGACCCATGGCCATTTGGACGTGGCGAACTCCTTCCAAGAAGCGGAACATGGGCCACAAGACCTAGAATAAATGTGCCACTGGAGAACTCACATGAGGTACACCCGCCAAAAACAGGGATAAATTGGCAGGAGAATTCACAGGTGTGCTGCTTCCAGGCTACTGGCTTTACCATGATAACCTCAGATTGAAATGTTATGCTGCTCAAGGCAACCTTTTAGGAAATGACGCCTTTTGCATGGCCTCGCACGTCGCACGAAACGGGAAACCGAGCTCGGAGGTTATTCTCAGATGCACAGAAAGCAACCCGCGCCAGTTCGGACAGCTTGGTCTCGACCAGTCAGTTGGAGCTCCCACGGCAAATTCGATTATCTCCGGCAACGAGCCTCGTTTGGCCAAGCATAGGACTGAGGTCGCTTCGAACAGTGGCCTCCGGAAATTGCGAGTCATAGTAAGTCTGGGCGATTCCAGAGCAAAAGTAACCCTTGACTTAAGGCGCAGGAATGGATGTTCATATTGATTTGTCACATCTAGGTCGGGCCACAGTTTGAGGAGCAAGTGTGCATCAGAATCCTAGGATGGTTCCACTAAAAACGCCCCACACCAGCCCAATGTAGAAATATGCGTGGGGGAAATAGCACAGGCCCGGGCGTTCCAATGTCCCCAAGCCCAGTGCGTGTCTTTGGAAAAACGCCCTGCCATTCGTCGCAGGAAGGCCTTCCCAATTTATGACCGAGGGCTTCCCTTGGCAGGGAACTTCCCGCAGAAGTTCCGGAACAAAACTCCTCTCACTCCTGCAACCTCTTGTTCAAGGGCACATATAAGGGAGACCTAAGGAAGATATAATATATGGGTATGGGTCAAAATTGCACCACCAGGACAAAAGGTTTCAGTCCTCGTTTCCATTTACCCGGGCAAGCCATTTTGGGTACCCATTTTTGACCCACGCCCATAATGTTAGATAGCGATTAATAAAAGGGGAGTAATACATTTTTTTTTTCTATCAAAACTATTCACTCTCCTGAAAAGCAAAAAGGGCAGGTATTACAGAAAAAATCGGCCCGAAATCCCGAAAACATGTTCCCTTCCAAGAATGGACTATTTTTGAGGGTTGAAACGTTTGAGTCCAGCCAGAAATGTCCAGAATTTCTGGATTGCTTCCTGTCCCAAACCACCAAATTCCTTATCAATCCCTTTACTAGAAGATGCACCCTGGCAAATTTTCAAGGGGGTGGCACACGGAACCCCCAGGAAGGCAATAATGCAGTTTGTTTAAGGGTAGGGAATTGTGAAAAAAAATGTCCAGGGCAGCCTGCCAAGAAGAAGAACCAATACTAAACCAATTCTAAACTGTAGTGAGTCAACTGAAAAGAATACTGAACTAGTACTAAACCAATTCTAAACCGTAGTGAGCCAGCTCAAAGGAATACTAAACCAATACTACACCAATTCTAAACAATACTTACTGGAAGACTACTCAGGCAGGTCCCAGTCTGACCCCCATTTTGTTTTTGGGGTTTTCGCTATTGACCCCCTCCAATTCGTTTGAGGGGGGGGGGAAGGGGGGAGGGGGGGGGGCCCTTTATTAATCACTCTCCAACATTACAGGGGAGAAATATGGGGGCCCGGTTTTGCATCAGGAAAGCAAACACACAGAGTCCGCTCATTCATTCCGGTTTCTCAGCGCGCCGCTTCCCGTTCTTCCAGTACGGATGCCTGGCAAGTTTTTTTTGACATGCAACTCTTCCCACTTAGGCCGCAAGTTATGGCGAACCGGGGCGAGAAGTCAAGGGAGGGAAACAGTATGGTAAAGCAGAGCTGCTCTGATTTCGAAAATGGAGGGGCCCCGTTGAAACTGCGGGAGGTTTCATGCAAGGGCCGTTTTTGCACGAACAAATGGCTGCTGGTTATTGAACGCAATCCCATAGTATGGAGGGGCTGATCAAGCAAATGTGTTTTGAGCCATCCCGCTCCAATGTTAGTGGCCCCTTCAAGCACTTCTCATTCCAACAAACTAAGCTATGGCGCCCCGCAAACATTAGACAAGTAGAACACCATGGGCCTGCTCATGTGTCCTGAAGCCCCAATAAGGAGAGCCGGAACGCAACTGGGACACCAAGAAACAAACACAAAAGGGAAAGAAGAGTGCTTTCAAAATGTAAACCAAAAGGGCGCTCTGGTGTTACTCCCTGCAGCATCAGTGATTGCGGCAAACAAGAAGTCGGAGCCGAATTAGCTTGGCCCAGATCTGGGGTACAGGGAAAAATAATACGGTGGATGGACAAAATCCTGCGCCAGTTGGCAGGTTGGTTATCCCATTATTTTTAGGGTTTTATCTATCCCAAGTGGTGCAGGATTTTGTCCACCCACAGTATGTGCAGACTCCGGTTCATGTTTCGTCCGCCGGCCTAACAAACAATATGCAAAACAAACAGTCTCGCAGGAGGCCCCATGATTGTGGCAGGCTCAGAATCTGGCATGTCAGATCGCCTTGGGACCCCGCAAGCGGGAAACGCGTGGTTCGAGTAGGGGTAAATCCATGGCCATGGTTCTCTTTACAGGCAACCTCATTCATGCATTCCTTGGGGGGGGGCTATGGGGGGACTATCCGTTGATAAGCCCAGGATAAGCATCAAGGGGGGTAACCTCGGGGTCCATGGCTCGTGATTGTATAAAGTCCTACTCAATCATGGAGCAACTGGCCATCCCTATTGACCTCAAATAGCAGGGCGTATTGACAGCGGCACACACACACACACAACACGCGAGCAGCGATCAAAATCCAGTAAGAGCTGTTTCAACGAACATGGGCACAAAGGTTGACATGGGCCAAACATGTTCTTGTTCGCCCCATGAAGCATGCAGTTGACTTTTGGTCCCGCTAAAATGAGAAATAGGTTTATGTAGGGTGTACCACCACCTTTATACTAGAACCACCGGTTGAAACAGCAAAAAGTTGCTTGCACATGTTTCAGGTGTTTCAAACAAGCCCAAGGATCGCCAAGCTGTTCCAAGCTCGCCAGAGGGACGCATTGCTGATGACTGGGGTGTTCCGCGACACGTACCTCGACATGAGATCCCACGTCCAATGCTTTTGGGGGTGCCTTTTTTGCATGGTACCCTTGTTGGGGTGGTTTTGAAGAGAAACGAAAGGGCAACCGAGGAATCCCAAAAAACAATCAAGACAAAAGCCATAGCAGTCACGCTGGTGCAAGCGCATCAGTCTGCAAATCCTACAACAATGCTGAACCCAGCAAATAAGCCAAGTGAAGGCCCTACATCATAGTGAGCTTGCTTTACCCCCGAATCCGTAGAATCGCTGGCCAAAAACACTCCAGAAATCATTCCAGTTTGATTCCAACTCATGGACGGAGAAGGCGGCTTCTAGGCTACCACTTGTGATACCAAGCCTGGTGGCACGCAAGGTCCACGAGAAAGGCCGCTAGTTTGTCTAGGTCCTCCAGATTTGAGAGGTTAGAATAAGGGTACCCGATCTTTTTCTGTAGTCTACTTTAGTAGGGGAACCCTCAGGCCCTCCCCCCAAAAAAGGGTAAAATGGCACCACTGGAAAACCTAGTTGGGAATCCAATTTGTTTGAATCGATGCTTAGGGTACGTGTGTACCCTTCAACCGAACCTACCCTGGAGAGGTCCTACCTTGAAGTTTTTCAAAATGGATCTGGGACCCCGTCTTGGTATGGTTTCTGTCTTGGTATGGTTTTGGGTGTTTCTCAAAATTTGAACCGATTCCTCCAGGTGGTCGGTTTCCTTTAAGTTTTGCAACAACCCAATTTGCCCCTGACAAAACCGCAAACCCAAAGGACAATCCGCCATTTCAGCGCACGTCGAGAACCACGCCGAATCTTTTCTTGGTTGCTGTTCACCCCCCTGCAAAAAGTGATTCACTTCTTGGTGGCCTGGTGGAAACCCCACTTTATTTCAGCCAAACAAGTTAAAGTCGAAAGATCCGTTGCCCAAGCCAATTGCAAAGAAGGCCGGCGCTAATGCTGAGACATGGAAAACTTCGAAACAACCTGGGCAAGGGACACATGAAGTGTAAAGGCAAACGCTAACCACTAAAAAACAGGTGAACAAAAAAGAGGTGAGGTTCAAAAAACCCAGCGGCAATATAGGGATCCCTGTGATCACCAACCCAAGCAGAACACGCTCCCTCCAATCCCCTTTTTGGCTTTTGGGACCCCCGCGGCTTAAGCTCGAAATCCTTGAGCTCGGGCACCTCGAACTGTCCCATCCCACGTTCCCTTAGGCGTCCTTCCCCTCGTCCCTAAACGGAACCCTCTGGGTTCGGATTCCATGGCTCCAAAAAAAGTGGGGAATTTGGGTGAATCCTGATGTCACTGCATGACGGTCACTCTCCGCTGGTAAACCAAGAGGCTATCGCACAAACCGACCAAGAAACAAACAACAACATATCCCTAAGCCGTCAAAAAACCTGGCGCAACACACAGCAGCCCTTGCGCCGGCCGCACCAAGATTCGGCTCGATGGTTTGACCCTGTCCTACCTGCCGCGATGTGAAGTACACATCATCCATCTGTAAGTTTCCGTGAAGGTAACACAGACATTGAGGTAGTAAAATGTCGTATTTTACAGCATTTTCTCGCGAAATTGACGAATTTTACACTGGCCCGTCAACATCCCCAGCATCGTTTTCACCATCCCCCCGCATCCCCAGCATCACCAACACATCGTGGGTAACAAAATCTAAAATGTAGCTGGCGGGTTGACGGAGTCGAAAGATTGATGACAAATAGGAGGGCATTTCACTCGCTGCAAAGCAAATCTAAAGAGTAGCAGGGGGGTTGGGGGGGGCGGCAGCCCCCCCCAAGATGTTCGAGGAAGTGATGATTCAAATAGGGGTTCAATTAAATCTCTATGGGGGGGGGGGGCGGCACGCCCCATTTTGTTCGAAGAAGTGATGATTCAAATAGGGGTGCAATGATTAGAAAGGGTGCGATAGAATATAAAAAGCAGCGGGAGGGTTGGCGGGGGTGGCTTCCCCTATGATGTCCGAAGAAGTGCATACATACAAACACACATAGATTACATAGATTACATAAAATGTCGTATGTTACAGCATTCTCTCGCGAAATTGGATGCTCGAAAAAGCAATGATTCAATGATTCAAATGGCGGGGCTTGGGCGGAGCGGCAGCCCCCCCCATGATGTTCGAAGAAGTGTTGATTCAAATAGGGACGGACTGGTGATGTTTAGAATGCGGGAAGCCAAAGCCAAAAACCAATGAACCGGAGAGGAACTGGGAATGCAGAGGATGCGAAAAGCCAAAGCCAAAAAACCACCAAAAGCCGCGTAAACCAACAAGAAGCCGAAAAGCCAAGAAGCCAAGAAGCCGAAAAGCCAAGAAGCCAAGAAGCGAAAAAAATCGAAAAAAAAACAACAAAAAAACAACAACTAAAATGAATACCCCGCCCTTTAGAAAGCCGTTTGCGTTTTGTATTTGTATGTTACTGTTATGTGCTCTGTGGCACCCAGAATGTTTATCTAAGCAGGGAGTCTAAAATTTGAAATCCCTGCCCACCTTGAGGCCCCAGTCTCACCCCGGGTTGTGTCTGTATGGGACCCTCAACATGTGTATGCTTCCATTTGGTGTCCCTTTCATACGGAAAAAAACAAAATCGCAATAGTATCCTCAAAAATACATATCCACATTGGCAAACGTGCAAACAAAAGGTGAACATGAGTGCGACTGCCAGAAAAATGCGCACCATCTTCAAATACATCAAATAAAACGGCAAGCGTGAGTAGCACATGAAGCTAGCGGAGGTATCTTTAAGTTGTGAGAGACCTGTCGTTGACCAAACGTGAGGAATCCATAGGCGTGGTGTTCCATAAGAGGATCCCAAAGGGTTGCATTTGCAAAACCTGGCAAATGGATGCGTATTGTTTGAGGCTACCCTTGGATTGTTCTAAAGGGAAGGTAAAAGGAAAACCGATTTGCCATTTTGGAGATGCCCCTGTTTTAAGGCACACCCAAATGAAGATACCTTGCCGGGGGCCGTGGATCTCATTCCAATCATGTACTGCCGCGTGCCCTGAAGGAGATCGACGAGGGCCGCCTGAAGAGGGACGACTTCAATAGAAACGTATGAACAAAAACTTGCTGGTGCTCAGTAGAGAATAGTGCCTCTTATAATAAGGGCGTGAACCCATGGATTCCCATAAGGGAAGCCATAGGGGATGGTTTATAAGGGCCATTCCCTCATTCCCTACTGAGCACCAGCAAGAAAAGGAACACATGAAGGCACCTCGACCCTCAACCTACCCTAAAACCGGGCTATTGTGAATGTCTATTGCCCCAAAATGATGGCCCTTTCTCTAAGGGTGGTTCAAGGGTCCAGGTGTCTTGTCTTAAAGGTATGCTCTGAAAGGGAACTCAAAGGATCACTTTTCGTTCCGAGGTCCCAAACGTCCCAAACCCCCGCAGTTGAGACCCTGTGCCAAAATAGAGATTCGGAGCCTCAGCGTGCGGTGGTGTCTTTTTGGTTTCCAAACAAAAACCAACCTCAACCTGAACAGTATTGGTGTCCCTTCCTCCCACAAACAGAAGGCACGTGAGGGAGGGTACCTGGAAGATAATTTTCCTCTTGGAGGGACCCCCTATCAGTCTAAGCGATTACCCTGAAAACAAACGCGGACAGACACATGGAATAAGAATTCCAAAGTGTAGTAAAGGACCTTCCCTCGTGTTGCCGAATGGGTAAAATCGCTCGAAAGTCGTGCGTTTTTGAGCTCACCCCCGCAAGGCCATAGATTGAATCAAGACGTTTTGACCGCACCTCGTATTTGGCCACATGATTTGCTCAAAACAGGCTCACCCAGAAATAAGCGAAACGGTTTTCCTTGCGGGTTTGCCTTTGATCCAACCTTACAAGGGCGCCAACGCCAAAAGACAAACGCCCAATGGCCAAACACCTGCAGGATCGGGAAGAGCATGGGGTTCACGAAGAAGAATCCTCAGGCCAAGGCCCCCGGTCAGCTATTCGGTGGGGTTTCGGTGGTTTGAATCAGTCTGTTCAATTTTTAGCAAAATCTAAAGCACCAAGACTTATGAGGGCCCAGTGGCCATGGAAAAAAAAAACATCTGTTTTGGGCTGCTTCCCCAAAAAACAAGAAAAAAGGGCGCCACTGGGCAACCAAGGGGAGATCTCAAGCTGGCCGATTCGTTCAAAGGGGCCCACTTTCACCGATACGGGTCAGCGCCGATACGCGTCCGCCCGGATCAATGGCACCAAGCCCTTTGCACGGCTTCATACTGTGGATGGACGGAGTCCATTTCGCACTACTTTGAAATCATGGGAATGAAACCATTGTTGGTTGGCATGTACAGGGGAATCGAATCATTTCCGGTTTTCTAAACGGTGGTGCGAACGGATTTCGTCGATCCAGTATAAAGGCATTCTCTATTCCTTATCTGGTAATTTTAACGGGGATGCGGGAGGTCAGTTGGAATTGTCTCAAGCTCGGAGATTGGCGTGTCCTTCTTTAGGGGACCCTCAGGCTTCCTTTTGGAATTCTATTCAAATCTGCGTAGCCAGGCACACCAACCCCAAAAAAACACATGAAGTTCCCAAAGAGGTGTTTCCTTCCGACCCCTCAAAACATATGATACCCAACATCCCCTTGGAACGTCAACGGCACCGCGCCTCAAAGCACTACCACCCCAGGGTTCAACCCCCAAAAAGAATGGGTGCCCCAACTTAGATGCTGACACTCACACAGCCAATGGTGAGGACACAAGTCAGACGATGAAGGTCCATGAGGTGTATACATTCGCCCCCGCCCCGGGGCCAGGAAACGGTCTGGCGGCTCTCCCCAGGCCCCAAGGCTTCGCCTGGCCCTGGAAGCCCTGCATCAGCCAGGTTGGGTTGGACAGGGTCGAGAAGATGTGCACAGAGACTGTGCGAAACAAACAGTGCAAGATTTGCGCGGTTTGTCCAGCGCCAGTGGAATGAAGTTGCCGGAGGGTGTCGTTGCAAATTTGGGGAACAATCCACAGGGTGCGACTTGGATTCGCGCGAACATACACCTACCATAGGTATGTTGGCAACCAGCTCACGCATTTCGGTGCCGACTCACTCACTCAGTGTCGAACAAACACAACACTTCAAGGCAAACCAAACACAGTACCTCAAAGCCAGCCAAAAGTATACTGGCCGAGGCGGGCAACACGAAGCATCTACAATTACCCCAACCCTCATTTGCCAGGAAATACAAGGCGATCACCTTGTGGGGTCACTCACTACAATGGAAACCCACAAAGGGGAAACTAGAAGCTCAAAAGCTCGGTTTTGGTTTGTATCCCAGGTTCGAATTAGGTGACAAGCCCGATGATGAACATGTTTTAGGTTGTCTTTATAACCCGTGCTATGGTAGCACAAAACTGTGCTTTTTGCAGCCCAAAAGCACAAACAAGAAAACAACCTGCAAACAACAGTCTCAAGTCATAAACTCGCGCAACCAGTAATTGGCTTAACGGAGGTTTTTTCATCCCAAGCTCCCCTGCAAGGCAAGGGCCCCTTGCCTCGCAGCCAAGAAGACCTCCCGCCGGGCATGGGATTCCGGGCCCTTCTTGGTGTGCCGACCCAGGCCGATGGCGCCGTACCTAGCGGCGGTGGCGGCGACTGGTGCCATGCCCGGTGGAGTTTCGTCCAGCGTGGTGTCGCAGACTTTGTGGCCACAAGTGGCTGGGTGAACTGGGCTGCAACCTGAGCTAGGGACACCTGTTGCCTTTGGCCAATTTGGATCCGGGAAATCATGCCGATTGTGATGGGAAGCCACTTGATTGGACGCAATTGTCTTTGTTCACTTTTGATCATCCCGAGGTTGACTTGAACCCATAGCCATGGTCATCACCATGTCTCTTGGGGAAATCAAGCATACTTTCTCACATGAAACCTGCCACTGAATGTCAGTTTAATTGGGGTCTTCCCCTGGCCTCTTCAACAAAGAACCCAGCCCAAACAGGGGCCTACAAACATACAAAACTATGACAACAGCAACTGCGCTCGACATCCTCCAGAGCGTGGGTTCCTTTTGGCTTCCCTTTAAAAGAAACAGCAAGATTGAACCCCCCCTTGAAGAGAAGAAACCCCCCGTCCCAGAAAAATTCCAGGACAACCCGATAAATTCCAAAACCCTTAGGGTACCCGATTTTTTTTCTGGACGCCTATTTTAGTAGGGACCCTCCCCCAAAAAAGAATCGGTAAAAGGGCGCCTGGCTAGGGGACCTAGTCACCCACTCGCTTCTCTCTCTCTCTCTCTCTCGGGGTGCCGGGCCCCTTCTTGAGGCGCGGCGCGCGCTTGGTGTTCAAAGCCCCGTGGCCCTTGGAGGGGCCCATCTTCGCCAACAGCTGCAGCGACCTCGCGCGCGGCGCGCTTCTTTGGGGCGCTTCTTTGGGGGGGACGGGATCAAAGGCCCGAAATCCCCATGGCTTAACTCGAGAAAAATACTTAGATGTTAAACCCTACGTAGCATGGGGAAGAAGCTGGATGATAAGGTGGTGAGCATGATTCTGACCCCAAGTCCGGCCCGACCAACAGTTGGGGGTGAATAGCCTGGCAGGGAGAGGTCTGCGAGGTGGTTTGTGGGAAACACCTTGCCTGAAAGATGTCCAGGCCTCACAATATTCCCTGGACCATGAAAAAAGGGCCGGTACTGGACGTCCCCAATCAAAAGTTGCATTTTGCTGGCGGTTTCCGTTGAAACGGCAACGTGGACAGGAGGGTACATTGTCGGGGTGTTGAAAGGGAAGGGTGACTGCAAGTGTTTGGGGTCCCTGTTTGATACACAGCCAGGCGCTTTCCCAAATCTGACAGCGGCTTATTCTTCCCGATGGGCAATTTTCAGGGGAGTACTAACCAATTAACATGGAACCCACCAGAAAGTCCCCTTTGTGGGACAACGGTACCCAACGTTGCCTTTCAGTACCACTAAGGCAAAGCGTACCGCTACTCCCCCAAAAGTGCTTACGGCTCCACGTTAATTTGCAGGGGAGTGCGCCACAGGAAGTTGGGACGCAGGGAGTCAGTCTTGGAAGGAATTGGAAAGACACATCCAGGTTCCGGCGACCTGTTCCAGCTAAAGCTTTGCCACTGGTTCGGTTCCTTGCGATATGAGACTCCATGTCATGTTACAATGTGTCAACATAATTAGGATATGGCAGATTTCCCTTTGAAACACACCAAAATGGCACACTCTTAAACACCTTCATCTGGGTGAATCATAATATTTCACCAACCTGAAAGAAGGTGGTTGGGGGGCTATTCCCCACATAAACCAACATTTGGGGTGGGGTCGTGTGAGATCGTTATAATTCACCCAGCTCCATTCATGTTTACATTCGCTCGCACAAGCACACACACAAACAAACACACAAAGACACAAACACACAAACACACAAAGACACAAACACACAAAGACCCAAAGACACAAAGACACAAAGACACGAAGACACAAAGACACGAAGACACAAAGACACAAAGACACAAAGACACAAAGACACAAAGACACACAGACACAAAGACACAAAGACACAAAGACACGAAGACACAAAGACAAAAGAACAATTGCACAAAGACACAAAGACACAAAGACACAAAGACACAAACACACAAACACACAAACACACACAAAAACACAAAAACACAAAAACACAAACACACAAACACACAAACACACAAACACACAAAGACACAAAGACACAAACACACAAACACACAAAGACACAAAGACACAAAGACACAAAGACACAAACACACAAACACACAAACACACAAAGACACAAACACACAAACACACAAACACACAAAGACACAAAGACACAAAGACACAAACACACAAACACACAAACACACAAACACACACACACACAAACACACAAAGACACAAAGACACAAAGACACAAAGACACAAACACAAACACAAAGACACACACACACACACAAACACACAAAGACACAAAGACACAAAGACACAAACACACAAACACACAAACACACAAAGACACAAACACACAAACACACAAACACACAAAGACACAAAGACACAAAGACACAAACACACAAACACACAAACACACAAACACACAAACACACACACACACAAACACACAAAGACACAAAGACACAAAGACACAAAGACACAAACACAAAGACACACACACACACAAACACTCACACACTCACACACACAAAGACACAAAGACACAAAGACACAAAGACACAAACACAAACACAAAGACACACACACACTCACACACTCACACACACAAACACACAAAGACACAAAGACACAATGACACAAACACAAACACAAAGACACACACACACAAACACACAAACACACAAAGACACAAAGACACAAAGACACAAAAACACAAACACAAACACAAAGACCCACACACACAAACACTCACACACTCACACACACAAAGACACAAAGACACAAAGACACAAAGACACAAACACAAACACAAAGACACACACACACAAACACACAAACACACTCACAGACACAAAGACACAAAGACACAAAGACACAAACACAAACACAAAGACACACACACAAACACACAAACACACAAAGACACAAAGACACACAAACACAAAGACACACACACACACTCACACACACACACTCACACACTCACACTATCACACACACAAAGACACAAAGACACAAAGACACACAAACACAAAGACACACACACACTCACACACACACTCACACACTCACACTATCACACACACAAAGACACAAAGACACAAAGACACAAAGACACAAAGACACAAACACACAAAGACACAAAGACACGAAGACACAAAGACAAAAGAACAATTGCACAAAGACACAAAGACACAAAGACACAAAGACACAAACACACAAACACACAAACACACACAAAAACACAAAAACACAAAAACACAAACACACAAACACACAAACACACAAACACACAAACACACAAAGACACAAAGACACAAACACACAAACACACAAAGACACAAAGACACAAAGACACAAAGACACAAAGACACAAACACAAACACAAAGACACACACACACACAAACACACAAACACACAAAGACACAAAGACAAAGACACACACACAAACACACAAACACACAAAGACACAAAGACACACAAACACAAAGACACACACACACTCACACACACACACTCACACACTCACACTATCACACACACAAAGACACAAAGACACAAAGACACACAAACACAAAGACACACACACACTCACACACACACACTCACACACAAACACTATCACACACACAAAGACACAAAGACACAAAGACACACAAACACAAAGACACACACACACTCACACACACACACACACTCACACACAAACACTATCACACACACAAAGACACAAAGACACAAAGACACAAACACAAACACACTCTCACACTACACACCGCCAGTTTCCTCCAAGGAGCCGCTCCATGCTGGCAGTCGCGCACGCTCCGCCCGGCGAAGGCGCGGGTGGGGGGTTCGGGCCCCCCAGTTTTGCTGCGAGCGACTGCGGGAAGAGTCAAATGTGGTTAAACCACTCTTGTCCTTTGGTACTTTTGTAGGGGACTTGTCCGTTTTTTTTTTCACGGGTTTCTTCGTTTAGTCCAGGGGATTGGTTTTTGCCACGGGTTTCTTCTTCTCAACGGGTTCCAGGCAAAGGACCATCCGCAATGCTCAGGGTTTGGTTCGCCCTTCGGGTTGGAATCTGGATGGTTTCTGAGCTTCGATGGATGCGCTTTGCTTTTCCTGGAAACAAATGGCTGGTCCAAAATCGGGACCCAAGCTAGCCTGGCAAAATGAAACATGGACTAAACCTGCGTTGTGGTTTCTCTTGTTCTTCTTTTTCTGGTGGTTTAATTTTGATTCATACACAAATGAGAACATATGTCCAGTAGTGAAATCGATTCCGCTAATTTAAAACCAACAAGGGGAAATGAAAAGTGATTTCTTAAACAAGGAAGAGCAAATGGATTGATGGGCTGCAGGCTTGACATAGGTCACACACACACACACACTGAACGGGAGAGGTTGGCCTACAAGGGGTCACTGGAAGTGACGAAGACGTCCACAAAGTGTTACATCCTCTATATAACCATCCAAGATTCTGGTCCAAAGGGAAACCGCCTCCAAATGTAAGCTGGAGACTTCACCAAAAAAGTTCACCACAATGAACAAAACCGAAATCGAACCTTTCTCATGGACCTACTGTGGACGGGCAAAATCCGCTCCACGCACAAGTTGGGATGGATGATACCAACTTGTGCCTGGTGCGGACTTTGCAATTCTCCACAGTAACCCATGCCCTATCCCAGGCTTTGCCAAGGAAAAGCCCCTGGTAGCTGTTGACCTGCAAAAAGTCCGGCTGTCTGTTTTGGTGGCTCCAATGCAAAAAGTTTCAACCAAGTCGTCAAAGTCCAAAGCTCCCTTGTGACCATTTGCCATTCACTTCTGAAGCACAGTCGAACTGCTTCTGAAGGACGATCCGACCAAAAACCAGCCATGCGTCTGGGGCTTCCATTTCCATTCTGCATCCAGGGATCCGAATCTTTCTAACCACCCAAAACCCTGGCGAAATGGCGATCGGTTTTTGACAAGAACGATGGCTGAAAAGAATGGCGAATCAACCCCTAGAATAAATCCCGGGCTTGTTGACTTCGTTCAGAGCCACCTATGAACCCACAAACCCCTGAGGTCCATGGAGCACGCCTTTTTGCGGCTGACCGACGCGCGCGCGGCCATGTGACTTTAGGCAGTTCTACTTGTGCCAGGGTCAATCCTCTCGCGGGTATGCGTGTTAAGGGTAAGACTACACTTGGGTGTGTCTTTTTTGGTGGTACCTCTTTTCGGGATGCTTTCAAAAGGAATCCAAAAGGAAACCCCCATTTTGAGGTATTCTTCTACTTTGAGACAAACCCATTTGCGCTTCAAATCTCAGATCCAAATGAACAGAATGTGCGCTTGTCTTCAAGGGAAGACCCAACGGGAGGCTGCCTCAGATTGTCTTTGAACGCCAAACAAAAACAAGACTATATATAGAGAGAGAGAGAGAGCCTAAATAATATAATGGGGTGTGTGGAGTATATGAAAACCAAAACAAGAAGAAATCAGCTGCCGCCTAATTGATGGTTCGGATTGGTGGTTTGGTTCAGCACAGCTTCCCACGTACCCTCTACAAAGCCCAGGGGTGCAAATCCGAATCCAAACCAATCCAAATCACCTAGAAATTTGACTGAATTGATTGATGTTGCATAAAATGCATAAAACAAAAATGCACGGGGTACCTAGGCCCCCCCCTCTATGCATTTTTCTGGAATGGGGGATTATGTTGCCCTCGCCGCCACCGATGCTTTTGGCCTTGGCAAAGGCAAGGTGGGCAGAGCTGTACGGTCCGTACGAACCGTTGCAGGCGACCGCAGCCATGCGGTTTTGGGCCGTGTCTTCCGTTTGCGCGGGGAGAAGTTTTGAGACCGAAAGACAGAGTCCTGCTACCACTTTTTGGGGGAGCTACGTCTGCCAAACAGGTCGTCTTGCAAGCCCTGTCTTGTATTTTGCATGAGGGAGGGTCTTTGCTGGGCATTGTCAAATTCCGACCATTTGCAAGCGCAAATCTGTCGGTGAAGGACAAAACGCACAGCAAAGAAGACACCGGGCCCTCCAGGTCTCACGACATCTCACGACTGAAAGGAAAACACGTGCGTTGCCAAGGTCTCACTGCCAAAAACGACAAATTATCATGGCTACAAAGGTCTTTAGCATGTTTCAGCATATCGCGAAAACACAACAGAATTCACGGCGGTGGCCAACAGAATTCACGACAGTGGCCGAGTAACCCAGAATAAAACACCTGACTGATCGCCACGGTTTCCTTTGGAAAAGAACTCGTGGCAGCTCGTGCAGTCACCGACTTTGCTCTGCCCAAGGATCTAGTCTATGAACATGGCCCTAACTCGCGCTGCACCCGCCTGGTTGCGGGGCGCGCGAAACTTTCTGAAGTCCCGTCAGTGAAGCCTTGGGGAGTGATACTCACTGGAATTCCTCAAATCAAAAGTTGCCAATAACAGGTGGTTTCCAGTGAAACGAGCGCCACTTGAGGCTCCCTTTAAAGGCAAATGGATCGTTCGGCAAAAATTGCTGGTGCTCAGTATGACCTTCCGGGTGTAAAGGAAACCATAGGGGATGGTTCTTCGCCGGTTCATTTCATTTATCATTCCCTCCTCTTTGCATTCAGCAAAGGAGGCCCTTCGAAGACGGAAAAACTGAACGCATGATTAGCATCGGGGCATAAATTCTATGGGGAACCCCATATGGTGGACATGGTGGGGATTCATATCCGATATCCACTTGTGAGGTGGTTCCTAAGAAAAATCATAGCCAAACCTAAAATCCATAAGGTTGACTAATGCAGGTCGATCTGAGTTGCTCATTTGGGTGTTTTGTTTTTGACCTTCGGTACCCTGTTTGGGTTGTTACAAAGCTCAGACGCCCAGTGGCCATGTGAAACCAAGGCATCTTTTTTGGTTGGTTGAGTTTCAAGGGGAACCCTTCCCAAAAAACTGGAGAAAAAAAAGGGTCGGAATCCACTGGTTGCAACTGGGAAAGGGAAGCCAAATGGAAAACAGCGGCGCCCATGTTGCTGTTTTTGCTTTTCTTCGAAGCGCCATTTCTCCTCTCACTCCCCGGCCACTGCAGCGACTCGGCCGCGCAATGCCTAAGGCAGACCGGCCTCGCGCCTGGCAAGCGCGAGCGCGCCAGGCTCTCGCCCAGTCAACATGGGGCATTCCCATTGGATGGTTTTCTGCTATGGGAAACTAAAAGGAAAGCAACCTCATGAACCGCCCAGGAAAGAGAATTTGGGGGTCCCGGCTGCCTATAGCTCAGGTTGTGGGGCAGAATAAGGTTTAATCGCGGAGTGCGGACCGTAGTCATGGGTGGTTTCTTTTTGGCTTTTGGTATGGGAAACCAGCCTCAAACTGCAAGGAAAGAGACTCATTTTGGGCACCGATTTTTGACCCACTGGCAATTCACGCCTTGGCTAAGGATGCGGTTGGGGTGTCTCACGCATAACCCATGACCTGCAGCTTCGGGCGAGGAACGAACTCAGGCAGGAGTCTTTGGCCCGATTCTCATCCCAGGAAGTCCACAACCCCAAAGAGACACCAAGGGCCAAGGGTGAAGCAGGGTCTTTCCACCAAACTCCAAGTTCAACCGGGTCTATAAATATAATAAATAAGTAAAACAATTGAATAACTACATAACTAAATAAATAAATATAAAAATAAATAAATAAATAAATAAATAAATAAATAAATAACAACAATAAGTAATTAAATATTGAGGTACTTTGGGTATGATTGTCAAGGGCGATAGGGGCTGATTCCCGAATCCCAATACGGCGATCTTGGAGATTTCCCCCAAACAGCCCGGTTCTTTCTCCCGAAGACATCACGCGCGGCTCAGACCACAGTGGGAACCCACATGTGCCCCCTTGGCATTGACCCAAACACAAATAGAGCACAAGGGAAGAGTGTTTGGGGGAGCCCCTGCCTCCCAGAAGCTCTTGTCCGAAGGCGTCCTGAGCGAGGCATGTTCGGCTTGTAGTCGGCCCATGATCACTGAATGGCCCCTAGTTACTGGGCTGTGCTCAGATCCCCCGCTAAAAGCTTAACTTTTAGTGGGTTAAATGGAAATCGCCACTAAAAACCTAAAGGCTAAAAAGTTGAGGGGATGGCTGGGAACCACCAAGGCTACTAGTCACTAAGAATCACTAAGAATCACTCAGTATTTGACCTTCATTTCAATTACAAGAAGGAACCAAATAAGCTCAGGTGATATCCCCAACAGCATGCGGTGCTCCTTTTTGAGTGCTCGCAGAGGGATTCCGCCAAAGCCAGACGGTGCAATCGGTGCCGGACCGTGGCCCGAAAAATCCAAGCCAATCATAGCGCACCGTCGGATTTGGCAAGGATGTCGGTCCCTTGTAACCTTTCCTCAGGGCTGCCCTGAACCAGCCCATAGCCCTCGAACCTCGTGGAACCCTTCTGGAACTCGTGGAACTTTGTCCTGGATCCGTTGTGGACCTCTGGTACCCTTGTAAACCGCTTGCCCCATAGCCTCGCGGAACCTCGTGGAACCCTCATGGAGCCCTCCTTTGTCGAAGCGCCAGCCTGGTGGAACCCCCGTGGAACCTTACCTCAGGGCCGCCCCGGACCACCCCGGAGCCTGTCTGGGCTGAGAACCCAAAGCTTCCAGCTGTTGGGGAATCAATGAAGTTGTCAACCGATCGAGTCATTGGCCAGACAAAGTAACCAAACTTCTTTGACAAAGCACTCACATGGTCTTCCCAAAAGTAGAAAGTCCAACTCGAAAAGTGAGTAGTCTGAGGAAACCTCCCCCCTTGCCTGGTACGCGCCTTGAAATATCAACGGGCTTCAATCCCAGGTTCCGTAGCTGCTCGTACGAGAGCATGCAGTATTCTGAGGTATCTCCAGATAGAGACAACCCCCCCCTTTTGAGCGACTTTGAGCGGGACACCCCGGCTAAAAAACTTATATATTTTTAGGGGGCCCGTTTTGAGACAAACCCCACATGGGCTCCACATAGTGCCAAGGAGAAACGCCAAGGCAACCGTTGGCTCGTTTGATGCTGCGCGCAGCGCTGCACTCAAGAATGTCAAATATCTAGCCGATTGTTTCTCTACGTGGCACTGCCCGACTGGCTGAGTGAGGGTTAAACTGTTGCTATTGTCAGCCTTCGCAGGATGTCTTGTCGCGCAAGAGGCTGTCACGATACTTCACACACCCGTCTACATCTACGACAGTGTCCGCCGCGCGCGAAAATGATCAAATTGTTGGGCCATTCCGAGAAGCGTTGCTTCACAAATCGGCGTGCCACTGACTGGTCAGAGGGAAAAATACTGCACATCCCTCGACGTTCGAGGTGCCCAGAGGGCTGGATAAAAACATGGGCCAGGTGGTTCTTGCGGGGCTGGTAAACCACATTCAACCGCCCATCTGGGGGTCCCTCATTTTGAGACACGAGAGTAAGAGATCGCGGCTGAGCACGGAAAGCAGGCAACACGGGTCCCAGACCCTGCATGGAGTTGGCAAAAAAATAACGGCCACCCTTTTCTCACTTCCGATCGAGCGATGCTCGGAACAAGTAACCAAACTTGTTGTTTAAGCCACTAACATGGTCTTCCAAATTGTGACCAACATCCAGGAACTCGGGGAGTGAGTTTTTTGCAAGTGGCCATGGGAAACAAAGACTTGGCACCCATTCTGGGTCGTTGACTGTAAAGAACACACACAAACCACGCCGCCACGGCCCCAACAACGGCCCAAAAAAAGAGAAAGGAAGGGACCAAGAGCACCTCAGTCGGCTCCGAAAGCAAAGCCAAAACGAGAGCAACCTCCATCTTCTCTGTATTTTGGCTGAGCTTGCAGGCTTGACGGCTTGGCATTGCTAAGGAATCGCTGGGTTCAGTCAGGCTTGATTTCATGAAACCCAGAAAGGGACTCCGGAGGCGCTTTTCGCCAGCGGGAGCCCGGGACAGAAGCGCAGAAGCGCAGAAGCGCAGAAGGAGGAGGGGGGGGGCTTGGCGGAGGCCCCCGGAAGTCCGAATCCTGGTTTGAGAAGCACACCCGGAAATCTAGATCCACAAGGCAAGGGGGTGCTTTCCAGTAGGCCCCCAGAAAACTGACCAGTTGAATTCATCTTGAGCCTGTGACATGGCGAGGTCGGATGCCCGATGCCATCGATCGATTTGGCTCCTGTCGACTGTCGGTCTAGGACATGTTCTCCCGCATGGCCTGGCATCGTGGGGCCAACCGCGAGGGTGGGAGTCTCTGTGCGCTTGCCTTTGAGGGCAGTAGAGGGAGTTTGGAATTCAAGTTCACCAGTTTCCTTTTTGAGGGCAGCTATAGAAGGGCTTGGAGGTCACGAATCTCCAACAACAGCTTGCTTTACTAGGTCCTCCAGTAGAGAGGTTGGAATAAGGGTACCAACTTTTTTCAGGACGTCTATTTTAGTAATTAGGGGCGCCCTCCCAACCAAAAAAGGGGTGAGAAAGGGCACCTAGCTGGGGGACCAAGTTTATGCCCTGGAGATGCGAGTCGCAGCTTCCATTTCGATTGCGCCGGATTGAAACGCGCGGCCGACTCTCCGGCACCGTTCAGAAACCCTGGAATGAGGATGATCCTGTAAATGCCAACAGGATGAAAATGGTGTCCCGTAGTTTCAAAGTGGTGCGAAATGGATTTCGTCCGTCCCAACCGTCCATCCCAACCGCATTAATCCATGAGAAGGTCGGGTTCCCATGAGATTTACTCTTGTGAAGTAACTGCAAAGGCATCCCGGAACCAGCCAGGGCGCTTTGATTGATTCCGTACCCCTTTTGGGTTGGAAAAATGCCCAGCTCGCCTGTTCAAACTACCTAGTAGCCTGAAAACAAACATACACCTCGTGTTGCCGCTCTTGTCTTGGCCCACATTTGGAGTGCAAAGAACCTAGTGTTTTCAGATTATGCTTCATGATTAATTCTGCCTTAACAAAGTGACGGAAACTCCGGATTAATAAACCCATCCTGCTAGTATGGTGCTGTCAGCCGCGTGAAGATTTCCCACCAAACTGGAAGATCAACTATTCATCAACAAGGATCCATTTATCCGGGGTCAGCGTTGGGTTCGTCTTTTTTCAGGGTTCCCCCAAAAACGGCTTCGGTTTTCCTTTTGGTCTCCCTTCAAAAAGAAACGCAAAACAAGGGGTACCCCAAAAAAGACATGTCCTTGTGATGCGAGGGGTGATCTAAAGATACAACCCAGCAGCAGTTGCCTGGCCTTGTCCACCATCTCCTTGCGCTCGCGCCGGGCGCGCCTCGTCAGCGGCGCCCCGTTGTGATTCGGAAACTGCTCCCCGGGCCGCGCGGCGAGGGGACGAGTGGGTGTGTCTCTCTTCATCTTTTTGCGGGGGTCCCTTTCGGCCCGCTTCAACGGAAACCAAGAGGAAAATCGATTTTGCCATGTAGGGGGTCCAAATCCCTATTTGACACATATTCGGAATGGTATCTGGTTGCCTCAAAAAGGTCAACTCCAGAAATCTCGGCGGTGATCAATCCTTTGAAAGCCGATCATGCATTAGATTGCACTTTTCCCTGCTCAAAACCATGACCCTTTTTGCCAGTGGCCATGGGAAAAAAACGGGCACCATTTTTTCGTAGTTAGTTGAGCAGCGGCCCACCCTCTCCAAAAGAGTTGCAAAAAGGAAGCAACCGACGACGGCTGCTCTCACCTGGAAGAAGCTCCGTCCGAGGCCAACGTTCAACCCTACACCTAGGACTTAGACCTCTTCTTCATGTTGGTCAAAGGGCAGAATGTTAGATCTCACCAGACATTGGCCCAGACGTCCAGTGGCTGGCCAAAGGGCCTAAGCTTGTCTCCTTCCCCCCAAAAGGGCGGCTTTTCGTTTTCGGGGACTCCCAAAACTGGTCTTTTTAGTGGTCTTTTAAAAAAAACAAGGGCACCCTCTCTAAAAAAAGGGAACATCTCCACGTGCTTGGTGGTTTGGAGGTTAGCTGCCGGCTTCCCATGTGCAAGAACGCGGCACACCCACCAAGGAGGGCTTACCTGAAAACGGCACCCTCAAAAATACCGGAACCACACCCCAACACAAAACACAAAAGTTTGCCAACGATAGCTAGCAACAGCCACTTGGTCAAATCTCCGAATATGCCGGCCATGGTCATGGCTCTGCTGATTGACATCGTCAGGCTCTTTAGAACCCTAAGGAGTTGACAACCATCCCCAAGAGTTTCACCATTGCACATTACAATCATTTGCTCACTTCCTGAGTGGAGGGGCACCAAGAGTCCAAACTGTTTATTTACCACGAAAAAGGCCCCAGCCTCCAAGAGTGACAGAAATGCAGGAACTCAGGAAGCGAGTTTGTCACTGGCTCGAAAGGTGAGCCCTTTTTCGAGGGCCACCCCGTTTTGAACCGAAGACATCTGCCTGAAGGACTCTGGGCCCGTGGCTGGCGCATCATGACCATCTGCGATAAACGGATCGAGGCACTCGAACCGCGGCGAATCAAGGAAATGTTCAAGGGACTTCCGTGTCAACTAATTGCGCGCAATGAATAATCGCGCGAGAAAAAATGCGCGCGCGTGACGGGGGATATGATGGAAACGCGAAACAAGTGCAACCCTCTCCTTGTTGCAGTGCTTTGGGATGCTCGAAAGTTAGCCTGATCGCGACGCCAAAGTCATCCTCAGAGCGCGCTCGGAGCGTGTTTGGACAGTCTTTGAGCGCGGACCCACGGGCACGGACGCGCGCAATTTTAGCAAGAGTAGTTTTGCGCGGCAGGCGCGCTTTCAAAATGTCAGGCACAGATCTCGTGACAAGCACAGCACTTTCGCAAGGTGAGGCACAAATTGCGAGGCAGGCGTGGCACTTCCGCAAGGTGAAAAGATAGAAAGATAGAGGAAAGATAGAAGAAAGAGAGCAATATGAAGAAAGATCGATAGAGAAAGCGGAGAAACATATAGATGGATAGAGAAAGCAGAGAATCATATAGATAAAATCGTAGAAAGTGGCTGGATAAACAGCAAGATTGATACATGCGTAGATAGAGGGGTAGCTAGGTAAAGAATCCGCATCGAAATGTAGATAGATAGGTAGATGAACAGGCAAATGGACAGATAGGTAGATAGGAAGAGACAGAGGGAGACAGGTATAGAGGGGGAGAACAAGAGAGAGGGAGAAATACATTAAAAAAAGATAGATAGCTAGCTGGCTAGCCAGATGGATAGGATAGACAAAGAGATCAGGTAACAGACAGAAAGACGGATAGATAGATAGACAGAGAGATAGATAAATCAGAAGCTAGGTTCGGATTTCTGTGCAAGGCTGAAGCCGAACTCCGCAACTTCGATGTCAAACTCGTCGGTTTGCGCTGTGAATGCCGCACACGTCTAACCGCAGGTTTGCATTGCTCGTTCTGAGAAGCGAACGAGCCGGTTCGGAAGTCGAGAACCATCTTTTCAGCCTGGGGACTGCACGTCACTGATTGAAGGCAAACAGTAGACACGCACACTTCATTCAGATCCCTTTTTCAACACTAGAGGCTTTCCTAGAACGTGTAATGCCGGAGATTCTTCTTGGCTTGAAGGCTGCCGCGCTAAGGCCATGAAAACGACCTATAAGCGGCTGGCAGCACAGGTTGTCGTCAAGTGTTTGTGGCCCAAATGAACGTCTCTCACAGCGAAGTCCATTTCAGCAGGGCAATGATCTTTTTTTTTTAAAGTAATCACCTCAACCGTAGCTTAGACTTGTAGATGGGTAGATAGATGGATGGATCACTTTTACATAGACATATAGACAGACAGACTGGATAGAACAGATAGATAGATAGATAGATAGATAGATAGACAGATAGATAGATAGATAGATAGATAGAGAGAGAGAAAGCTAGATAGGTAAGTAGATAGAGAGTGATTGGTTGATAGAATGTAGAAATAGAGAGAGAGAGAGAGGGAGGGATAGATAGAAAGAAAGAGAGGCTAGACTGATAGCTATGAGATAGATAGATAGATAGATAGAAAGATAGATAGATGGAGAACGAAATGGAAAATCACTAGATACACAGACAGACAGACAGACAGACAGACAGACAGACAGACAGACAGACAGACAGACAGACAGACAGACAGACAGACAGACAGACAGACAGACAGACAGACAGACAGACAGACAGACAGACAGACAGACAGACAGACAGACAGACAGACAGACAGACAGACAGACAGACAGACAGACAGACAGACAGACAGACAGACAGACAGACAGACAGACAGACAGACAGACAGACAGACAGACAGACAGACAGACAGACAGACAGACAGACAGACAGACAGACAGACAGACAGACAGACAGACAGACAGACAGACAGACAGACAGACAGACAGACAGACAGACAGACAGACAGACAGACAGACAGACAGGAGACCGACCGACCGATCGACCGACCGACCGGCACACAGACAGATAGTTAGATACGTAGGTAGAGCGAGAGAGAGAGAGAGAGAGAGAGATAGGTAGATTGGTGGGTAGATAGGTACGTAAAGAGACAAATAGAGAGAGGAAAATACCGACAGATAGATACATAGATAGGTAGATAGATAGATAGATAGATACAAAGATAGACAGCTAGCTAGATAGATGGATGGATGCATAGATAGATGCAGAACGAGACAAACCAAGTCGATAGGTAGATCGATCTGACAGATAGATAGATATAGATATAGATACAGATGTATATGTAGATATATATGTAGATATAGATATAGATATAGATATATATATATATATATAGATAGATAGATAGGTCGATAGATAGATTGATTGAATTATAGATATACATATAACATATATATATATATATGAATGTATATTTTAAATAGAGACAAGGAGGTGTGGATAGATTCAAATAGGGCTAAGATTCAATCCCTGGACAGAAATCTAAAATATAGAGGGGGGGGGCAGCCCCCTCCATGATCCAATTAGGGGTGCGTTTCAATCTGTGCAAAAATCTAAAAAGTAGCGAGGGGGTTGGAGCCCCCCCATGATGCTCGAAACAGTGATGATTCAAATACAGTGTAAAAAGTAGCGGGCGGCTTGAGGGGGGCGGCAGCCCCCCATAATGTTCGAAGAAGCGATGTTTCAATAATAGGTGCGCTAGAATATAAAAAGCAGCAGGGGGGGGGGGGGTTGGGGGAAGGCAGCAGCCCCCCTTTCATGTCAGACATACATACATACATACATTACACAGATTACATAGATACATAGATTACAGACACACACATATACGTAAACATGAATAGGCAGAACACTTGCCGGAGAGGAACTAGTGATGCTGAGGATGCGGGAAGCCGAAGCCAAAACTAATGGAAACAAGACGCTGGAGAGGAACTGGGAAAGCAGAGGATGCGAAAAGCCAAAGCCAAAAAAGCGACCAAAAAACCACATAAACCAACGAAAAGTCGCAAAAGCTAAAAAGCCGGAAAAAAACAATGGTGCAGAGGATGCGAAAAGCCAAAGCCACAAAGCCACCAGAAGCCGCATAAACCAACAAGAACCGAAAAGCCAAGAAGCCGAGAAGCCGAAAAGCCAAGAAGCCAAAAAGCCAAGAAGCCAAAAAAGCCAAGAAGCCCAAAAGCCAAAAAGCCAAGAAGCCAAAAAGCCAAGAAGCCAAAAGCGAAACAAATGTTCCAAGAAAACGAAACAAAATCCTCAAAAAAAAACTCCAAGAAATAATGAAAGAAAGAAAGAAAGAAAGAAAGAAAGAAAGAAATAAAGAAATAAAGAAACAAACAAAGAAAGAAAGAAAGAAAGAAAGCGGAAAGATAGAAGAAAAGAAACATAATCAAATGTAAACATAACTATAGTGTTTGCCAACTCTACTCGTACTGTGGGTGGTTGCAAAGCCCATGTCGCGCCACCAAAGACACCTTTGGAATGAAACCACTCTGTGTTGGTATTTACAGGGGAATTAACATTCGAGAGTTTCTTGGGTGGTGCAAGATTTTGTTCATACACAGTATTGGCGCGTCAATTCAAATAGGGGGCCCTCCAAAATGCGCTTTGGCTCTCCTCAAAGACCAAAAAGGGGTACCCTTAAAAAGAGACACATCCAGCCAACCCTACAACATGCAGCAGTTTTAGGGGCGCAACCATGGTGTCCCCAAACAAAGCCATTATTTTGTGCCGCCATCTCCTAAATGAACCAAACCGGATTGGTGGAGCAAACATCTGTCGTCCTGAAGGAAAACCCTTGGCATGGTAGCAAAAGCTTTGCTTTCTGCAGCCCCCCACCACAAAAAACGAGGAGAACCAAAGAACCTCAAAACCCCAAAAACCCATGCCGCCAGTGAAGATAAGGCGTTACTCAATTCATTGTCACCCAAAAAGGATCACCCTTTTTAAAGCTCATCATAGCTCATCCATCCAAGATCGCCCAAAAAATGCCCGCCCATGTGGGACTCTGAAAGCAGCCCCGAGTTCAGCTGAGGTCGGTCTGAAAGGGCGCCTGAACATCCATAGGGGAAACCAAAAGGAAGAAACACCCATGAATCTTGATTTGGACACATGCCAGACTGTGGATGGACAAGATCTTGGGCTCCCCTTGACGAACCACCGCAAGTCGGCTTGGTTTGAGATCACGGCTTTATGTGCCTCTGACCCTGATAATCGTCCCAACTTTGCGTCAAACACGGGCTGATGACCCTTGTGTAGCCAAAACGAAGCCAAAACGAAGCGCCAGGTAAACGAAGCTGATGACCCTCGTTTTGGCTTTGTGTACCTGCAGCCAAAACGCAGCGCCAAGCGCCCCTCTCCCCCCGTTGCCGAGCCTCGCGTGTGCTGCGCGCAAAGGAATCCAGGTCATCCTGACCATGCACGATTTCCATGCACCCCACTTCGCGGCGTTGTGCTCACTTGCTGAGTGGATGGCCCAAAAAAAAGAGTCCAAACTTCATATTTACCAGCAAAATGGTCTTCCCAAAATGTTTAAAGTTCATGAACTCAGGAAGTGAGTGTGTCGAATGTAAGGTTAGATACGACCTAAGCACGCCGCACCTCGAACAATTTGGGCCCGCGCAAACTCCTCCACCCCTTCGGCCTGGTTGCTCCATCTCAAGAAACAAGTGGTTCAGGGCACCCCCCCTTCGGACTGGTTCCTCCATCTCAAGAAACAATCTTGTTGTTTTTGTTCAGGGGCTTACACCTGTTGGCTTCTACCTGTTGGCCAGTTGTCAAGACATCACTACCGACAGGCCTCTCCTTCAGAGGCCCGGAGAAGGAAAGTCCGAAGTCCGCGAGTGGAAGGAACCCTCTTCTACCGGGCCCCCCCGGACCACCACAGCACTGCTTTTGGGTTGCTGTACCAAGTTTGAACATGGGGAGAGAAAAAAATTGGGCACTTCTTGGGGGGACCCGGGTGCTGGAGGAACTCGCCGGCATTCCCCGGGATGGTACCTTGATCTTCCAGCCCTTTGACGCAGGTCTGGTATAGCATATGCTATAGATCTCAAGGGAAACTTTGTAGTAGCGAGGGACACACACGCACTCGCATACTTCCTGAAAGAGGGGTATACCCTCAGCATGAGACAAGCAATACAAAAGGTCTCCCCCTGTCAACTGATGCGCTAGATGCTGGGAGGGTGATCAACGGTGACTTCTCAAAGTGGACTTTTCATGAGAAGCGAGTCTTGCTCTGCTCACTTCCCCAAGGACCTGAAAATACAAGGTTCACCTTTTGGGTCACTAAAAATGGAAGCCCAACATAGGAAAACCAAAAGGTGAGAACAACTGAGTTTGACAGCTGACATTTTCCTGGAGCAACTGAGTATGACCTCAAATGCCCAGTGGCCATGCGGAAAAAAGGGCATCCGTTTTTTGGTTGTTGGACTTTAAAGGGAAACCCTTCCCAAAAAACAAGTTGAACAAAGGGCGGAATCCACAGGTTGCAACTGAGTATGAAATTGAATCATTTCCAACCGACAGCCAAAGAAACGAGTCCACGAAAGCGGAATACCCCTTCGAGCGAGATCGGTGAAGAGTTGGGCTCCCTCCGATGTCTTTATTTGGGCAACCCGAAAAAGTATGTTCTAGTTGTGCGTTGTTCATATACATGGCAACTGTTAGAATAGCTTCTAGTCCATTTTTGTTTGATATATATATATATATATATACGCTCACCTCTCGCGGCATGACCACTCTCGCGAGGGGAACCCTGCCTTGGGATACACCAATAGCCCTAATCTGATTGCAAGGGGCATGCGATGCGATTGAACATTTTGGAACAACCGATTTGTTGAGCGTGCTGCATCTTGGAAAGAAGCGAATGGCCTGGCTTACTTGAACGATGACCAAAACTCAAGGGTAGAACATTAAATCGGTTTACAGCTTCCCTCGAGAAGGGTGGTTTGGAGCCGAATCGGTGGTTTGAAGCCGAATGGTTGGTTTGGATTGGTTAGAAGCTGGTTTCCCAACTAGTCTCTACAAGAAGTTGTTGAAATCCCACCACTCCAAACCACCAATGGATTCAGACGGTTGGAGCTCCCTACGATCTGGGGTCAACATGAGATACCGGGGTCATGTTTTGTTGGCTCTGTTTCTCTGGGATAAAGTCAGAAACTGGAATCGGCTGCTTCCCTTCGACCTACCAAGTCCTCCAGTAGAGAGGTTAGAAGAAGGGTACCCGTTTATTATTATTATTTTTCTGTATATAGTCTATTTTAGTAGGGGAACCCTCCCCCCAAAACAAAACGGCAAAAGGGCACTACCGGGGGACCTAGCCTACCAAAAGAGAAAGCGGCCAAGGTGTTTTTCGCTCCCTTTTTTTTGCGAAAAGCGTCGACGTCAACCGCGCCTGGAACCGCACGCTGCGAGGCTCCTCCAGCGAGGGCGACGTCTGGGCGCCCTAGGATGGCGGCCACAGGATTCGTTTGGACCAATAGGTCACTCGCATGTGTGTCATGTTTGTTTGTTTGCTTGTTTTTTGGGGGATAGGGTTTTGGGTCTGCCATTGCGTTGGATCGTGAACCTTTAACTGTTTGGGGAAACGCCACTCACCAGAGGGTCCCTGTTAGAGGAAAAAGATGATGGTCTTCCAGGACCTAGGCAGGTTCCATGTTAGCTTTCAATACATAGAAAGTGGGTTTCCACCTCAGTTCTGGCACAGAGACAGCAACACAAACACATACAAAGACCCATCTGTCCATGTTCTTTTTCCAATCGGCACACACACACACACGTTTACCTGGAGTCTCCATGACCCGAATGGGTTTGTCCAAACGAAAGTGGTCACGGACATCCCTCTCCGCAGGCGGCCTCTCCGCCTAGGCCTCCGAGCAGATTGCCCCAGCAGAATTGGGAGATCCGCCTGGTGGCGGATCCTCAGTCGGAGAGCGCAGGCTTTTTTAGTTGGTGGAAAGGGAAGACCATTTTAGTGTGGAGCCTCACCAAACACGCAGGGACAAGGGTGCCAGTGAACCACATCTTCCGTGTTTAACAGGTCGGTCCAAAACTGGATGCTAGCGTAAAGCCAGGTTTCACATGTCAGATCTTTCCTCCTGTATACTTGGGAGGATCAACGATAGCACAGGGAGTCTCGAACAATTCAAACATATTTCAGTCCAAAAAATGATGGGCATTCTTGTCACGCAGAAACCCCCCCCCCATAGAATATACCCCAAAGCGCAAGGAAGGTGAGGTCGAACAGACCTCTTCTTTGTTTTTTGGAGACAGCAGGCAGCAAACGCCAACGGGAGACTTGAGTGATCTTTTGTTAGGGAACCCCACCTTTGCTATGGCTGATGTCTTTGTCGCAGCCAAGTCGCCAGAGAGCGCAGCAAGAAAACCTGAAATCTGTTCCATTTGCTTAAGTTCCCAGGCAAACACGTATTTCCAGTGGGGTGATAGATTCCCTTTAAAACCGGCATATTAAGCAAATGGAAGTTACCATCATTCACCAAGTCTGAAGCAGGCCCCTTTAGAAAGGAACTTTCATATCGAACGTAGGTCGCAATCCTTGCTTTGTGGCCTTCCCTATCTCTGCCTCTAATCTGGAACTCAGGAGGGGCCCACTACACAAGTTTTTTCCTCTTAGATGCAAATAGAAACCACCGGAATGTAAATGTCCCCTATACATTTGTTGATGGGCATCCCTCGCCATCCTCCACCCCTGAAATGAGCAGCGACCAAAACCACTTTATCTTTGGTTCTACCAAAAGGGCTATTAAGGGATTGTCTAGGCCATGAACACAGTTAGTAGAACCCCCTGCTACTTTGCCATGTGCCATCAAACAATTATCTGAGTCAGGATGGTTCTATGCTTTAAGGGGTCTTTCCAACCATGATGTGGTAGCAGCAAACTTTAAGTGTCTCCACAAGAACAAACCAACAAAAGCAACTGAAAGCAAATACAACCAAAACACAACAACAACAAGAATGTACCCCTGCATCAGCCTGCTATTGGGGTTTGGATCAATGGTTCCGCTGTCCAATGCAAACTATCCCAAAAACAATTAACTAAAGCACAACAAGTTACCAAAAACAGCAACAAATAACTAAGAAAACAAAAAGCAACAAAAAGCAACAACTAGCTTAAAAAAGATACCTAAACAAGAACAAATAACAACCAACAAACAACAAACTAAACACCACCACACAACTAAAACACAACAAATGACTGAAAAACAAACAAACAACTAAACACCAAGAAATGGCTAAATAACAATAACACACTAGAAAACAACGAATAACCACACACAAACAAATGCCGAAGCACCAACACATAACTAAAAACCAACATAACTAAAAACCAACAAATAACTAAACAGCAACACAAGACTATGTATAAATATATATATATATATATGTACAGTTACATACATGGTTTCTTTAAACAAAAACAACAATGCTAAAGCCAAGAACTACACGCCAGCAACACAACTAAACAACAGCAAAAACAACTGAAAACAATCACACTTAAATACAACACATAACTAAAACACCTGGCAACGCCAACGAAAGGGTCCACATCTCGGCCCCAGGCCCACCCAACCCGCGGTGGCGCTCAGGCGACACGCCCGAGCCAGAGGTTGGGGAGGGCAGGTCCTATCGGGCGGTGTTCTGGGAACCCCGGAAAAGATAGAATCAACAGAACCAACACAAGAAAACACACAAACAACAGCTTGATCCAAGGACAGTGAAGTTTGGGTTCGGTTTTAGGTTGGTTTGGGTTGGTTCAGACAAATTGAGTTATTGGGTTTAGGTTGGTTTGCGGGTGGCTTTTGGGGGTGGCTTTGGGGCTGGTTTGGGGGCGGTTTGTATGTGGACAGAGGGTTGGGTTTTCTCGGGGTTGTTCTAAACCTTGAGTTTCACCTTCAGTTGGTTAACGCTTGTTCTCGGGTAACCTTGTCATAGACATACGGGTGTACAGGAGTTGTACCGGGGCCAGCCAGCAATACCATGAAAAAAGACCCTCGGCTTCTTGGTGGGGAAAACATCGATTTTGTGTTTTGGGCCTTCTGGCCCACCTCGGGTTTGGCACCCGGAAGGCTGGGGATCGATGCCTCGAAGCCACCAGTCGAGTCGTACGGCCGGGGGCTTCTCTCATTCAGAACCAGTCGACAAGATATGGGTATGAATTTCAAGATAATTAAAATTAGGGACCCTTTGGTGGACATCATTTTGGTGGGGATTTATGTCCACCAACCACTTATCAGGGGGCCATATGGCAAGGGTCACTGGGGGAAGCCTCACTTTTTTCGGGATGAACCCCATTTAGCGGTTGGCTCACTTGGGTTGCCCTTCCTCCTAACATGGCACCGGTGGAGGGTACCTGAAAGTTTGGTTTTCCTCTTGGAGGGAACCCATGAGGTACCTGAGCGAGTTTTCCAGGGTTGCAACAATCACCCTGCTTTTCTGAGTTCAGAAAGCCAAGGGGGGGTTGAGCACAAACAGGCCCAGTGCTTGGGAAAGAATGCGGCCCACATCTGGGCTGTGCATTCATAGTGAGCCCTCACTCCAATGTCTGCCAGCACCCCGGGTCCCAACTGCTCATTCAACCATGTCCAAAATCCCAAGCACGGTAACAAACAGCAGTGGTTGGGGGTGCTGGTAGAGAACACTTTGGATGCCCCCCGACTGTGGATTCCACCTGTTTGCGGACCCCGCAAAGGGATTCATGCAACTGGGCTGTCCGTTTTCTGATCCCCCACTAAAAGTTTAACCTTGAGTGGGTTAAATGGAAATCCCTACCAAACACTAAAACAGCTAAAAAGCTAAAAAGCTAAAAGGCTCAGGGCATGGCTGGGAACCACAGAGGACAGTTTCCCCTTTCAAACCCCAAATGGGTCGCTCGCCTTCTAAAGGCTACACTTTTTGATGGGCTTTAAAGGGAAACCAAGAGGATACCCACCGCTTTGTGTGTTATCAAGCCTAGGCCACCTAAGGTAATACCTAGGCAAGCAGCAAACCGTTGACTACTTTTCACACTGCTGATAGTGCTCTTGAAGTCTGTAGCGGCGGAGCATGTACAAGGTACACTCATGCACAGGGTTGGAACCTGAATCCACACCCCCCTCATTTGAGATTGAGCAACAACGAAAATGTCGGCAGGTTTTGCAACCCGCTTTGATTCCATACGCACATCCATTGCACGTTGAAAATGGACATTACACATCCGTCGTGCATGCAAATTGCTACTCTCTCTCAGAAGGGCTCCGTTGTGATGAGGATTGCATTCACCACCTTCCGCTAGTAGACCAGCCGCGCGAACTCCAGGTCGACCACTGCCAGCTGCTCCAGTCCTGACTGCTCCAGTCCTGACTGCCCCAATCTCTCCAGCTTCGGCTTCTGGCAGCGGAGCTGGAGGCGGGCTGAGCAGCTTGCACAGGTCCGCGGGCGCGGTCCTCGGCGCTTTGCCTTTGGCTGCGCCGTGCGAGCTTCTTCGCATCGTCCTCCGCCTGGCCGCAAATCTCCTTGACTTCAGCTTCGAGGTCCACGGCTCCGGTTGCCCGGAGCGTAGGGAACTTCGCGCCAAAAGTGACGAGATTGCGCATCCCCGGGAGGATGTTGACCTGGTCGACGAATTGATGAAGACTCAGCATTTTCCCGTTGTACGAGAATAGCCATGGAAACTCAAGCAGTCTGGCGTCATAGTCCCCGACCTTGCCGCCGGTGACGTAGACGGTCCTCACATATTGGAGACCTCGTTTTCCATAGCGTGGCCCAACCCCGAGAAGTCGTTGATCATAACTCCGTGGAAATTCGGGGAGGACACAAAACCTATAGATAGACATCTGGTAGAGGCTGTCGCGGTTGTGCCCTTGCTCCACCATGCGAAGGGCGAAGGTCGCATCTTTGTCAAACCGATCTACCACATTGTCGTATCCAAGCTTGCGGGCCCTGCTGTCGTAGTTCTTCGAAGCCTCGATCTGCTTGGCTTCAAAGGATGTTGCTCCTCTCTTTGCAACATCAGCATAGCCCTTGAAATCATTGATGAGGAGCTGGTCAACCGTCTTGCCGACGCGGTGGCTCACCTCCTCAAGCATCTGCGTTCTCCGCTTTGCGGCTCTGAAGAGCTTAACGTCGTTGTTCTCCTTGGTGCTCCGTCCACAGCGCTGACACTTGAGCTGCCCCTGCATCATGTCCTCGCCGCAGAGGCTGCAGCCCGTGTAGTGGACGGGCATCGCAAAGGTCTTGAAACGGACAACTGAGGTGTCGGCCGCGGGTTGCCCCGGGCAAGAAGCGGCCGTATCCTCATTTGTCTGCTCTTCTTCAGGATTTGTGGCCCTGTTCCCCTCCGCATCGGTCTGAAAGGCCTCGTCTGCAGTCACAGTGACGGCTCGCCTTGCGGCGAGCATATCGACAGTCGTTTGATTCTCCAATGCCTCAAGACGAAGGGCGTTCCTCCAAAGCACTTCTCCGGTCTTCGCGTCTGTGTAGTACAGAATGGAGTCATTGGGAACGATGTCGTTGGTCAGCATGACATCAGACTCGGAAAGGAAAAACACCACTCCGAGCTCAATCGCATACTTGAAGTCGATCACAAGCTCAATGGGCATCGTTGCTCGGACTCCAGCATTATACGATGAGCTCTCTACCGGGTGGATGGAAAAATGGCTTTGCGAGCGGCCACTCTCCGTGGCACCAACGCCACCCGGGACCAAACCTGTCCTGACGATGTTCTCGGCTGCGTTCTTGCTCGTGCGATGGTATAGTTTGCCAGGGCCATCATCAACCGGTGAAAGTTGCAGTCCAACCTTGCGAGCGTCCTCCGGGAGAAACTTCCCATAGACGGCCTTCGCAAGTGCATACTGGTTCCGGCTGATGTCGCCATCAGCATCAACGCTGCTGGCGTGTCCCTGACTGGCACGAACCTTGATGACAACCCACTCCTGGTTGTTCTCGGCAGCCGAAGGGTGCTTGATCGCGAGGACGGTGTATCTGCATTTCGGATCGAGTGCAAAAATCTTCAACAGCGTTTTGTACCCGATATTGCTGCGGGTCTTTCTGTTGAATTTGTCACATAGCTGATGGACGTCGACAAAATAGTTCTCATCGAAATCGAGTGGCCTCTGTTCTTGAAACCTGCCACGAAGCATACCAGATATGGTTGTGCACCGATCGGTAGAGGACGTTTCTCCCTTCATGAAGTTGGGCACCTTCAGGATCGTGCCCGGGAGAATCCTCGCCTCATACTCCTGGCCGCGGAAGATGACGGTTCCGCCGGGCTTGCCTGGCAATGCGCTTCCGGCAGGGGTTGCCCCCCGCACATCCGACGCCACCGCAGCAGTTGATGGTTTCGCCTGTACCTTAGGCGATGCTTTCGCGGTGAACTTGGGTGTAGCCGGAGCGGCCTTGACGCCAAGCGCAGCCTCAGCGGCACTCCCTTGCGGGAGTGCATCATCGTCATCATAGTCGATCTCCTCCTTGATTTCGACTTCCTCGATCTTTTCGAGGATGCGGCCCTTCGCGAGCTTGATCGGACGTTGAAGGCTTTCCCATGACTCAAGAGTGAGCTTCCTGTTCGCCTCATACTCGGCCAAAGTGTTGGGGTTGAGTCCAGCTTCGGCGTCATGAGAATATTCAAGGTACAACCTGACGTTGTTGAAATCTTCTTTGTGGGACTCAACGACAGCGACACACTTCATGACGTTGTACAACGACCACAGCCACTCCACCGTCGTCTTCCGGTTCTCGATGGAGTCCATCATGTGATAGTTGTCAAGCCGGTCCTGACGAGATACCAAGAACGTCGACTCCTTCTTGCGAAGGAGCTTGTGCTTGTTGAGCGACTCATCCAACAACTTTTCCATGAACTGGTTGTAGATGGGCGGGAGCATATAGTACGAACCCTCGGTGTTTGCCAAGATCGTGATGTTTGCAATGCTCCACCAACTCCTGCACTCCTCAAGCACATCGATCGCCTTGGCGCACTTGTTGAACAGCTCGGGCCAGTGACCGTCTCCGCAACGGTATGGCCATTCGGGCTCATCGCAGATCCCACCACTGCCAACGAGCTCGTTCCCGGACCAGTACACCGTCACGTAGAAGTCGTGGTCCTTAAACTCAGGGCGCTTCTTCAAGTCCTTCATGGCGCTCTTCACTGTCCACGTGAGAAATGTGAGATCCTTTCCCCAACACATTCTCACCTCACAGTGGCTACAACCAGTGCTGCGGTTGTAGTTCATGTCCTGCGCCAAATCCGCCCTCTTGCGGTTCTTCTTGCCACCGCTGATGAGGGCGAGGCTGGAGTCACTCACAACAAGGTATACGCTATTCCGGCCACAGGTTGCCCCGGGCGTGATGCGGCCAAGACCTTTGTCGTTAACGGCGCAGAGCGTATCCATGAGCTCCGGCGCGTAGTCAGCCGCCCACATAGCGCATGAACTCTGAAGGGTGGCCTGTGCTCCGAGGATCTGCTCCATTGTCTTGCGATCCTCAGGCCTCGTCTCCTGGAACAAGGTGTTCGACGTGAAGCTCGTCATCACACCTCGCCAGTACTCCAAGTTGCCCTGCTCGTACTCCCCGAGATTGTAAGCAGCCATTGCGGCTACCGGTGAGGGAAGCTTAAGAGCAACAAGTGCACGTTTTGTTGGTCTCTGAGC